ATGTTTGAGGACAACTTGCAGGAGTTAATTTTCTTCTTCTACCGTGTGGGTTCTGTCAACCAAACTCAGATCCAGTGTTAGAAAGAAAAGTGTCTCTTGTCTTCCACATATTAGCCCAAGAGACATCCAGAACTAATTTCTGAGAGTTCAGGCTTTTGGGAAGCTTGAGATTCCTGACCCTTGGGGACACAGCCTCAAAGAGACCCAGAATCAAACGCCCTTGTCCGGGTGTACCTACAACTCTGTCTAGGTGGGGCCCTTGTAAGCGGGGGTGGGGGAGAAGGGGGGGGACAAAAGGGGAAGCTTCTCTTTTCTAGTGATCTGGTGAGCACTTCCCTCTCCTGCTCCAGCGCAGGGCTTGCTTCTATGTTTTCCTTCTGGATCGTTTTCTGTGGTTTCTCATGTGTCTCATCCTATATGTATGTTTGTGTCTTGGTCTCTCTGCTTGGGTGAAGACTGTTGGATGGGGGCCTGTGTCTGTATTTCTAAAATAATGTTGTTACTCCTTTCCCTCTAGGATCATTTGTATAGGAGATGGGACCCTAAGTGTGGGCTATCAGCCGCACAGTCATGCAGTCCTCTTAACTTATCGATGGCAGGGTTTTCCTTCATTGTGAAGCTTCCTCTTCCTCTTTGGGGAGTGTTTATGACAGTATATCATCCTTCTGGGTGTGTCTCTCTACTGTGACTGTCCAACCCCTCACCTGGTTATGAGTGTCAGGGCTTTCCCTCTGGTAGAGATCTCTAATCCTAGCTGTGAGTCATTATGTTCTTGGGATGGAAACTGCTTGTTCCTGGCCTCGTGTGTATAGCAGATTGGTTAGGGCATGTGGAAGGTTCAGTCACTGAGGTCCTGCCTGATGCAGGCAGAGTACTTCTTTCTTTTCTGTGTGTAGATTGTGCTAGGCAGGTCTGCTCCACGTACCCTTCTGGCACAGGTCTTGTCATCAGGTTTGAGCCATTCAGCCATTGAGGCCCCAGGGCTTGTCACACACACACACACACACACACGCACGCACGCACGCACGCATGCACGCACACATGCATGCACAGAGAGAGGTCCTGTCATCTTGACAGTGGCTGTCTGTAGCTGCAGCAGCAATTGCCTTGAGCTCTCACTTGTGGAGAAAAAAAAACGCCTAGTTCCTTCATGACAGGGGAGACAATGCTCTTCTGGAGGTCACCCTTGCTAGGAACCCTCTGCTTTTGGACACCGTCTGGATCTGCTCAGAACGATAGCGGGCACAGGCAGAGCCTTGCTGCTGCATGTGTTTTTGTGACTTTGAGTTGCAGGACGGGTCATTCTGGCCTGGCATTTGGCTGGAATTGTGCTCGGTCCCTGAATCCTTTCTGTTTTTCACTAGAGCATCCTCACTACCTCACTCCTCTCTCCTCCAAGCAGCCTTCTGCCTTAGGGGTTCTCCACATGCCCATCTCTCCTGGGGCACAGGCCTAGAGCCAGCAGACCTAAATTTTAGGGTTTTACCACTTCCCTATTCTTGCTTCTATGTACCTTCCTTACTCTGTACGCAAGCAGCAGCCAGCGCTGTCCTCTAGAATGCTGCTGTAGGGGAGACTTTGCTTATCCTTGCTCTCTAGTTGTGGCAGTGGCTGTTAGGCACCTATACTGTGGCTAATGGAATTACATTTTTAACTTGGAGCTGGGCATGGCAGTACACCTTTGTAATCTCAGAACTGAAAAGCTAGAGGCAGGTGGATCAGGAAGTTCAAGGTCATTCTCAGCTACTCAGTCTGAGGTCAGCCTGGACAATATGCCTGTCTCAAAAAGACTAAAAAAATAAAATAAACCAAAAGACCCCAACAGGGCTGGAGGGATGGTTTGGTGGTTAAGATTGAGTACTAGTTTTTCAGACGACCCAAATTTGGTACCTAGCACCCATGGTGGGCCAGTTACAACCTCTAATTCCAGTTCCAGGGGAATTCTACCCCCTTGGCCTTATGGGTACCTACAGTCACGTACACGCATGCACATACATACACACAATTAAAAATCATTTAAAATAGTTTAAATGCTTATTTATGTGTATCCATGTGGGCCTGTGTGAGTGTGTGCATATACGTGGAGGTGTACACGGAAGCTAGAGCTCCCCTGGAGCTGGAGTTACGGGTGATAGTGTGCCGCCTGACATGGCTGCTGGGAACTGAACTCAGGTTCTCTGGAAGAGCCGCAAGCATTCCCAACCACTGAGTCATCTCTCGTTTTTTTTCCTCGGGTGGGGGGAACCACAATAATTTAATTTTCTGCCTAAAATTGTTTTATTTTTGGCTTTTGGAGACAAGCTTTCATGTAGTCCAGGTTGGCAATGAACTTGTGCTGTAGCCCAGGCCACCCTTAAACTCTTGATCTTCCTGCTTGCCCTCTTGAGTGCTGGCACTATAGGTGTGTACCACCATGCCAGGCTAATCTGTTTAAATTGAAACAGCCGGATGTGGCTACCGTGTTAGGAGTGCACATTTGACTCTCCTTCAAGCCCCAAAGGCTTGTGATGAGTGACTGAAGGAAGAATTCCCCCAACCTCCAAAGACCTTTTGGGTTTTCCTGGAGGCCTGACTTAACCCAACTGTGTGGGCAGAGTGGGGGGGGACATCTGGGCTGGCTATGGGCCCTACCGGTGGAGAATAGACCAAGAACTTCGGCCCAGATGCAGAAAACAAGGCCGTTGCCACCGTGGCCTCACATCTCTCATGTGCATCCTGGACCTTTCAGGCCCAGATTTGATGAGAAGGGAGTCTTTCTTGGTCATTGGCGTTTCGGACAGGTGCTTGGCAGGCCCACCTGGGTGGGGCCGACTCGTAGCATGGGTCCCGTGGGTCCTGTTTGCAGTTTGAGAGGTTTTCAGAATGACTTCCTCTCTCAGTAGCATATGGCAGGTCCAGGTTGGTTCTCGGCGCTTTTTGCATATAAGGACCCTTGTCCTCAATCTAGAGAAGGGAAACTGGGAAGTTCTAGCCCCTTTGGCATTTGGGGGCCTGGCCTAGGAGGCATTGCATTACTAGGTTTTAGGCGTGACCCTGTGCATGTCTGGAGCTGTTGCTGCAGACTTTAGTGAGTCACCATGGAAGGGGGGGAGGGTGGGGCCACCGTGTGGGTGAGAGTGAGCTGACTCTCTTTCTCCTCTGCTGGCTCAGCACCAGGAAGCTTGGCTGAGCAAGGGGCCCTGTACAAGGAGGAGGACAGGGGTACTGGGGAAACCTGAAGGGGTGGCTTCAGTTTTTAGATGTGTGACCTAGAGACTTTTACTTTTCTGCTTCTGCCTGGCTTCTGTCTTCCAGGCTGGGTTCTTAGTGTTAGTCCCAGGCAGAGGGTACCAGTTTCAAGTTGGGAAGAGTCAGTGTGGCTTTTCTCTTAAATCAGCCTCTTCTGCTTGCTGGGAAGGGAGGGGGTGTTTTCCTCGCTCAAGCCTGTGCCAGCAGGCCTCTCTCCTGCCCTCGTTCACACTCCAGCCAGCACCTGTGTTGTCAAGTAGGCCCACGATAAGCACTGCATTTATGTGTTGGTCGAGTTTGAGAACAGGTGTGGTGATCTGGGGTTTATCTTTGTGTCTATCTTTTGTCCATGCTGGTTTCTGCCTGAGACTGGACCCATTAAGTGCCATGGATTTGTCAGAGCCACAGTCCCATCCTAGAGGCCAATTCCAGCACCTTGGAAGTCTCATTTGTATTTCATTCCCCGAGATGCCTCTTAAGATTTCTGGAATATTGTGGAACCCAGTTGGTCATACTCAGAGTCCCTTGCTTATCATTTGTATGGGGACAGGACTCTTAAGTCTTTTAAATTTCCATATCTGGCACAGGAAGTGCATTCAATAAATGTCTAGAGGATGTGTGAGAGATGGGAGGTAACAATGCCATGTACAATTAAGTGCTGGGCTGGGCTGTATTGCCCCTGGATGATATCCTTTGCAGCGGCATCTAGTACAGCCTAGGACATACAGGAGGTGATCAGTATGCATATATTTATTGATTGGTTGGCTAATTTCTGGATGTACACAGTTTCAGGGTGTGGCTTTGGGTGAGTCTCACCACAGTTTATAGAGTCCCTCACACAATTTCACAGGTATGCTTTAGATGGCTGCCAATGCCATTTTGTGTGGGTGCTGTAGTTCATTGCCATATATACCATCCTGCCAGGTGCCTTTCCCAGGGTACCTCTGTAGCTGATAATTCATCCTGTGCCAAGGAGGGATGCCTTTACCTATGGTGCTGGCTTTAGGGTCCAGTATGGGCAGCTGTATAGACCCTGACTCATCACAGGCCTGAGCTGGGCTCAGCTTCAGCCTTTTAGCTTTGGAAGCCTGGTAGTGTTGGGATTATCTTTGTTCTGACCACTATCAGGAACACAGCTTTTGGACCTTCCATCTGGTAGGGGTTCCTTTTGGTCCTGAGGGCCAGGCTAGAGATAGAAAGCTAAGTCAGTCATTGGGGTGGAGGACACCACCATCCATGCTTGGAGAACAGTCTCACATTAGTGAAAAGGTATGGACTAAATGTGGCATAGGGGAAGACCCACAGGAACAGGCTAGGGGCTAGCGTCAGCAACATCACTCTGTGTGTGAACTCCAGATAAACAGGCCTTTCAGAGTCTCAATCTATCTGCTTGTGACGTGGGACCATGTATTCTAGAGGCTGATGAACATGGGTGTTTTGTGGGTCCTTCATGGACCACTGCTGTTTTCAGTTGGCATGGAACTCTTACTATTTCCATCTTCACAGACAAGGAAACATAGGTTCAGAGAAATCAGGTGTTCTTGGCAAAGAGTCCTATAGCTAGGAGGATGCAGTCAGCATTGGAGTCCTTGTCTAGTTTCCTTTAACCTCATTTTCTGTAGCAACAGGTTTCAAAGTCATGTAGTTTCCGACTGTAGTGGGGACCAGAGTTTTGGCCTGGCCTGGGGAAGTGCATCAGTCTAGCATTTGAGTGGCAGCTCACTGAGGTTTTGAGAAAATGAATGTGAATATCATGGTGAAATTTTTCCTAGGTTGTGTGACCGAGATTCCAGAAGAAAAAGAGACTGATACAGGAAGAGAAGAAGGAGGGGCGGGCTCCTGGCAAGGCATTTGTCCTGAATAGAGTCCTGCAAAGGTCAGTAGGTGGGATGGTTCAGAGGAGTGGAGGTTAGGGTGGGGTTGCTGCACATGTGGTGTGGCATTTGGAACGGGGCCCTGGGTGGATCAAAGGGCCAGTTACCCCATTTCGTCTATCTTCTTTATTGTGCACTGGGAGAACATCCACAGTGGAAAAACATGAAGCAGACGGCCTCCACTCCCCTCAGGAACCCCTCCCTTGGCCAGCAGTGAGCCAGAGCTGAGGGTGCAGGTGGATGGAGCTTGGGCTCCATTCCTTTGATGGGCACTGCACCAAAAGATGTCTGGCTTTCTCATGCCTTTCTGCCCTCCATGTTCCCGTGACCAGAGCTCTGTTTTTTCACCTCATCCCAGATGGAAAAGGAGGAGGAGACAACCCGGGAGCTGCTGCTGCCTAACTGGCAGGGCAGCGGCTCCCATGGGCTGACCATTGCCCAGAGGGACGACGGAGTCTTTGTACAGGAGGTGATGCAGAACTCCCCTGCGGCCCGCACTGGAGTGGTCAAGGAGGGTGAGTCTTTCAAGGATAGTGACTGGGTATTGGGGGGTGAGAGGGAGAAGGGTGGGAGGCAGGGAGCCAGGCAGAAATGACCAAAATGACTGTGGAAGGCCTGGGTCCAGTAGCCTAAGGATGTTCACTATCCAATCCCTGTCCTTCTTTGCGACTCTGTCTTGTTCGTGAATCTCAGGGGGGACAGTCATGTGAAGTCTTGGAGACTGGCCTTGTCTTCAGATCTGATTCTGCTGTCCTCACCAGTTCTGCAGCTCTGTGTAAAATAGTTGGCCTTTCAAGCCACAGTTTCTTCACCTGTTCAACGAAAGGACAATGCTGTTGTCTGCATGATAGCTATGAAGTTAAAGGGAGGTCAGTTGTGTGTTTTGTGGTGCTTTCTTGAGAACTGTGGGTCTTGGCCTAATTTTCGTATTTCTTTTCTTAGGGGACCAGATTGTGGGTGCTACCATCTACTTTGACAATCTGCAATCCGGTGAGGTGACTCAGTTGCTGAACACCATGGGGCATCACACCGTTGGCTTGAAGTTGCACCGTAAGGGGGACCGTTCCCCCGAGCCTGGACAGACCTGGACCCATGAAGTCTTCAGCTCCCGTAGCTCTGAGGTGGTTCTGGTGAGTACCTGGTGACCCACCTTTGCTCTGAGCTCCCCATGATTTGGGTGGCCTTTTGGCTGCACTTCCTGAGCCTTCTCTTTTTTTTTCGCCTCTCTGCACTCTCTTGTGACTTCTCTCTGCTGGTTTCTTTCTGTTTGTATGTGGCATGTGGCTGTATTCTGTTCTTACAAGTATAGTGTTCCTTCACTCTCTTGAGACTGTGCCAAGGCATCGGAACCAACGCAAGCAGTGGGGGCTTAGATGCCAAGAGAAAGGTTGGCTGCTTTACTAGAGCCTTTGAAATGACTTCACTGGTGTTCAACATGCCTCTCTGCATTCCGTGTGCAAGATGAGCAGCACAGTGCTTGTGGGAAATGCTTCTTCTTTTTTTTTTTAATTAATTTTTTTGAGATAGAGTTTATCTGTGTAGTCTCGGCTGTCTTGTGCTCCCTTTGTAGATCAGGCTGGTCTCAAACTCACAGAGACCCTCCTGCCTCTGCCTCCCTGAGTGCTGGGATTGCAGGTGTGTGCCATCGAGCCTGGCTGGGAAATGTTTCTTTACTCCTAATGGCTTGTTTTCATTGAATGAGCTGTGTGTCCTCAAAGTGAAGTATTACCTAGACTAGCCAGGCCATCAGCCTTCACAAATGCTTTTCAGTGTGCTTCTGGAAGACCTTCTCAAACAATCAAGCCAGTGAGTTGAGAATTAAAGGATGAAGGGAGTGGTTGGGATGGGTCTCTGTACTATCAGCAGATTGTAGAGCCTCTTCCCAGGCAGCACAGTCCAGGAATCTACATATTTCCTAACCCCGCCATGACTTTTGCTTACCAGAATTTTCTTCCAAATAATTTCTATTTTCCTCTTGTGATGTGACTGTCAGCCCTTTCTTCAGTCCCCTGTATTCTGCCCCAGGAGGCTCTCTGGACCTCTGTTATGGTCTGAGCACCTTTGGGAAACAGGCAACTCTGTTTGTTGGCTGGGCTGCGGCCAGGTAGCTGCCTTTACAGGCAGGCTTTGCTGCAACCTCTGCCGGGCATGTCTTTCTGCAGAGTGGGGATGATGAGGACTACCAGCGCATCTACACCACAAAGATCAAGCCACGCCTGAAGTCTGAGGATGGAGTAGAAGGGGACCTTGGGGAGACCCAGAGCCGTACCATCACAGTGACCAGAAGGGTCACAGCCTACACTGTGGATGTGACTGGTCGAGAAGGTGTGAAGGACATTGACATCAGCAGCCCTGAGTTCATGATCAAGATACCAAGGCATGAAGTGACTGAAATCTCCACTACGGATGTGGAAACCCAGTCTGGGAAGACGGTGATCAGACTGCCCTCGGGATCCGGGGCAGTCTCTCCATCCACAGGCTCTGCTGTGGATATCCGGGCAGGTGCCATTTCTGCTACAGGACCAGAGCTTGAAGGTGCTGGCCACTCAAAATTCCAGGTCACTGTGCCTGGGATAAAGGTGGGAAGCCCAGGTGTCAATGCCAAAGCAAAGGGCTTGGACTTGGGAGGCAAAGGAGGGATCCAAGTTCCAGGAGTGGACATCTCGTCTTCTCTTGGGTCTGGCTCAGTAGAGGTACAGGGCCCCTCCCTCCAGAGTGGTGATATTGGGAAAATTAAAATTCCTACCATGAAGATGCCAAAATTTGGTGTGTCAGCAGGCCCAGAGGGTCAGATACCAGAGGTAGGGCTGAGTGTTTCTGCACCTGAATTCTCTGTGGGGCACAAGGGTGACAAGCCAGGCTTGACCATTGGTGGGGACATCCAGGCCCCTCATCTGGAAGTCAGTACTTCCTCTGTCAATATTGAAGGGCTCGAGGGGAAGCTGAAGGGTCCCCAAATCACTGGGCCGTCACTTGAGGGTGACTTAGGCCTGAAAGGCACCAAGCTGCAAGGGAACATAGGAATGGATGCCTGTGCTTCGAAACTTGAGGGCAGCATCAGTGGTCCTAGTGTGGAGATTGAAACTCCTGATGTCAATGTTCATGGCTTAGGGGGCAAAATGAATGTGCCCAAGATGAAAGTCCCTAAATTCTCTGCAGCAGGTTCAAAAGGAGAGGGAGTTGACATTGATGTGACACTGCCCACAGGTGAAGTGACGCTTCCCGGGGTCTCTGGGGATGTCAGTCTTCCTGAGATTGCTACTGATGGGCTAGAAGGGAAGATGAAGGGTGCTAAAGCCAAGACTCCTGAAATGATTGTTCAGAAACCAAAGATCTCCATGCAGGATGTAGATCTGAGCCTTGGGTCCTGTAAACTGAAAGGAGATATGAAGGTGTCTGCTCCTGAGGTGAAAGGCAATATTAAAGGCCCTCAGGTGGCAGTTAAAGGCTCCAGAGTGGACATAGAGACACCAAACTTAGAGGGGGCCTTAACAGGTCCCAAGCTCAGCAGCCCTTCTGGAAAAATGGGGGCCTGTAGGATTTCTATGGCAGATGTAGACTTAAATGTAGCTGTACCAAAAGGGAAAGGGGGTGTAGATGTCATGCTTCCCAAAGTAGAAGGGAAAGCCAAAGTCCCTGAAGTTGATGTCAAAGGCCCCAAAATGGACATCAGTGCCCCAGATGTGGAAGTCCATGGCCCAGAATGGAACTTGAAAATGCCCAAGATGAAGATGCCCAAGTTCAGTGTCCCAGGAGTCAAAGGAGAAGGCCCAGATGTAGATGTGACTCTATCCAAAGGAGATATCAGTATTTCAGGGCCTAAGGTCAATATAGAAGCCCCAAATGTCAACATGGAGGGTCTAGGTGGCAAACTTAAAGGTCCTAATATCAATCTGCCTGACATAAGTGTCAAGACTCCAAATGTTCCTATGCCTGATGTGGATCTGCACATCAAAGGTGCAAAGGTGAAGGGACAGCATGACATTGCAACACCAAAGCTTGAGGCAGAACTGAAAGGCCCCAAAGTGGATGCTGATACCCCAGAAGTGGATGTTCATGGCCAAGGCCTGAAGATACCCAAGATGAAAATGCCCAAATTCAGTGTGCCAGGGTTCAAAGCAGAGGGCCCAGAAGTGGATGTGGACCTGCCCAAGGCAGATATGGACATTTCTGGGCCTAAGGTGGAGGTCAGTGGTCCAGATGTGAGCATGGAAGGACCAGAAGGGAAGTTGAAAGGACCTAAGTTTAAGATGCCTGAAATGAATATCAGAGCTCCAAAGATCTCCATGCCAGATGTGGACTTACACTTAAAAGGCCCCAGTGTAAAGGGAGAATATGATGTCACAGTGCCAAGGGCTGAAGGTGAGATTAAAGTTCCTGATGTTGAACTTAAAAGTGCTAAAGTGGACATTGATGTCCCAGATGTGGATGTTCAAGGTCCTGAATGGCACATGAAGATGCCCAAGATGAAAATGCCCAAGCTTCCAGGCTTCAAGGCAGAGAGCCCAGAAGTGGAGGTGAATCTCCCTAAGGCTGACATTGATGTCTCAGGACCCAAGGTGGATATCAAAGTTCCAGATGTGAGCATTGAAGGACCTGAGGGAAAGCTGAAGGGTCCTAAGGTGAAGATGCCCGAGATGAATATCAAGGCCCCAAAGATATCCGTGCCTGATGTGGATTTGCATATGAAAGGTCCCAAGGTAAAAGGAGAGTATGATGTCACAATACCAAAGTTGGAAGGAGACTTGAAAGGCCCAAAAGTAGAGGTCAGTGCTCCAGATGTTGACATTCATGGTCCTGATTGGAACTTGAAAATGCCAAAGATTAAAATGCCCAAATTCAGCATGCCCAGTCTTAAAGGAGAAGGCCCAGAGTTGGATGTGAACATGTCCAAGGCTGATGTGGACATTTCTGTACCAAAGTTAGATATTAGTGCTCCAGATTTGAATCTTGAGGGACCAGAAGGGAAGCTGAAAGGCCCCAAGTTTAAGATGCCTGAGATGCATTTCAAGTCTCCAAAGGTGTCTCTACCAGATGTGAACCTAGATATCAAAGGACCCAAAATGAAAGGAAATATAGACGTGTCTACACCAAAAATAGAAGGAGAGATGAAAGTTTCAGAAGTGGACATTAAAGGTCCAAATGTAGATATCAAAGCACCAGATGTGGAGGGTCAAGGTCCAGACTGGAGCCTGAAAATGCCAAAGATGAAAATGCCCAAGTTCAGTATGCCTACTCTCAAAGGTGAAGGCCCAGATGTGGATGTGAGCCTACCTAAGGCTACCATTGATGTCTCAGGACCTAAAGTTGACATTGAAACCTCAGATGTGAGCCTTGAGGGCCCAGAAGGAAAGCTAAAGGGCCCCAAATTTAAGATGCCTGATATGCACATCAAGGCCCCGAAGATTTCAATGCCTGATGTGGACTTAAACTTGAAAGGCCCCAAAGTCAAGGGGGACATGGATGTGACTGTACCTAAGGTAGAAGGTGAGATGAAAGTTCCAGATGTGGACATCAAAGGGCCCAAAGTGGACATTGATGCCCCAGATGTGGATGTTCATGGGCCAGACTGGCACCTGAAGATGCCCAAAATAAAAATGCCCAAGTTCAGCATGCCTGGCTTCAAAGCAGAGGGCCCTGAAGTGGATGCGAACCTGCCAAAGGTTGATATTGATGTCTCAGGACCCAAAGTTGACATTGAGGCCCCAGATGTGAACATCGAGGGACCAGAAGGGAAACTGAAAGGACCTAAGTTTAAGATGCCTGATATGCACTTCAAAGCCCCTAAGGTCTCCATGCCTGATGTGGACTTGAATATTAAGGGGCCCAAAGGAAAAGCAGATGTGGATGTATCATTGTCTGAGGTAGAGGGTGAAATAAAAGTGCCAGATGTGGACATTAAAGGGCCCAAAGTTGGCATTGATGCTCCAGATTTTGAAGTTCATGGCCCAGACTGGCACCTTAAGATGCCTAAAATGAAAATGCCCAAGTTTAGTATGCCTGGCTTCAAAGGAGAAGGCCCAGAAGTGGACATACCTAAGGCCAACATTGATGTTTCAGGACCCAAGGTAGACGTTGATGTTCCAGATGTAAATATTGAAGGTCCAGATGCAAAACTAAAAGGCTTGAAATTTAAGATGCCAGAAATGAATATAAAGCCTCAGAAGATATCCATGCCAGATGTTAGCTTGAATTTGAAAGGCCCTAAAGTAAAAGGAGAATATGATGTGTCAGTTCCAAAAGTAGGAGGGGAAATAAAAGCTCCTGCTGTTGACATCAAAGGCCCCAAAGTGGAGGCACCAGATGTGGATGTTCATGGCCCAGACTGGCACCTGAAGATGCCCAAGGTAAAAATGCCCAAGTTCAGCATGCCTGGCTTCAAAGGAGAAGGCCCTGAAGTGGATGTGAATCTTCAAAAGGCCAACATTGATGTCTCAGGACCCAAGGTAGACATTGATGTTCCTGATGTGAATATTGAAGGTCCAGAAGGGAAACTAAAGGGTCCCAAGTTCAAGATGCCAAGCATGAGCATACAGACACATAAAATCTCTATGCCTGATGTTGGGCTTAACCTGAAAGGACCTAAACTGAAAAGTGATGTAGATGTTTCTCTTCCAAAAGTGGAGGGAGATTTGAAAGGTCCTGAAGTTGATGTGGATGTTGGTGATATTGATATTGAATGTCCAGAAGGAAAGCTGAAGGGTTCAAAGTTTAAGATGCCTGACATGCACTTCAAGGCTCCTAAGATCTCCATGCCTGA